CTCATCAAGGAGAGTCTTGCAACTTAATGGGTTAATGAATCAATTGGTTATTACAACCGATTTCAACTTAATTCATATTTAACATTTTAATTCACCCATTTACTGGCAGTACTCTACCACTGATGAGTAATTAATCGTCTGGCGTTAGACAGACATTTGGGCACATTCACATTTCCAGTTAATGAAGTTCATATTAAAGAATGAGTCTCATAGTAATGCATTGCGCGCTCAATGTTTATGTTTACATCAGACACGTCATAGTTGACGTCACAGTTCACGTTCTCAAATTTTTATAATTTGCGTAATATAGCATCTTTTGCGTTCAAGTTGATTGGAAAATTGTCGTTTTTTTCGAGAAATTGTAGAACGTTTTTGATATGTCCCCATCACACTCTGATGAGGATAGAAATGTATCGCAATACGACATTGAAGACGATCTTAATGTCTATGGATCACCCGTATACTCGACGCAAATAGCAGCCGATACGCAACCTTCTTTGCCAGCAGCGAGTCATTCGACTCATGCTAGAACACAGGTATGATATTTCAATAGGTTTGTCGTTTTTTTATTATATATTCTGTATATTTATATAGTGAAATTCGTTTCGTTTTAGTTTTGTAATTGCAAGAATACATGCAGTAAACGCAGCGGCAGAAAAAAGCGAGGTTGTCCTTGCCGAGGTGAGGAATTGAAATGCGTCGATGGCTGCACATGTGGAACAAAGAAGGCAGCGTGCAATAATAAACAAGGAACAGCAGCTGCCTCGAGTGCTGGTATAAACGCTTTTGAACGTCATCAGATCGCAGTGGAGGAAGCTAGAATGCAAATTACAGTAGGTGTTTTTATTTCGAATTTCTGAATTTGCAAATGGTTTGTGCATTATTGTAGTTTGTGGAGTAATTTTTTAGGTCATTGTTTATTCATTGCCCACTGTATTATAATTGTAAATAGTGTCCAAAGCTGTTATAATTATATATTACAATATCTACAGCTGTTCGTACATGTGTTACGACTCTTTCAAGAATATCCAGAAATATATGCTGATTGTTAAAAATACATAATACAGTTTGTCATAAGAGTTTCTTGTTTCTAGAAATTTATTGGAGATCTAACAGTGGAGGAAAAAGACAAAGTACTCCTTGAGGTTTTGTCAAATGGGAAAGGCAGCCTTGACTATGCCAAGAACCTTGTAGAATTTGGTGGTCAGCCTCCAGATCCTCCTCAAACAAAGCCACCATGGTGCACATGTGGAGTTTGCCAACCAATGCCAACCGAGGAGGAAAATAGGTGTTGCAAGAAAATACGTTGTGTCACATCATTCACGACAATTCAAAATACATGTACTGACCGAGATGTTTTGGTTATGGCTATTAGGGCTAGATGTGACATTAGGGCAGAGGAGCCAGACTATTCAACAAATAGTTTTAGAAAGGCTGCCTACTGCCAGTGCATTCTCTGGCGGTACAAAAAGTTAGGAAGAGGAAATAGGAAAGTTTGCCCTTCATGTGTTGTCCTGGCAATAAGACATATATACCCTGCCAATGATAGTGTGTATATGGGATTTAAGAGGGCATAGTTTGCCAATATGTACTTTTGTTAATTAAATTGTTCAGTGTGACAGTGAAATAAAAGGAATTTAAATGTGGTTTCATATATCCCACACTTGCATGTGTATCAAAATGATCATTATGAATTCGAACATAAATTGCTCTTGACTCTAACATATTGTATGTCATATATATCCCATTGAGCGCCAGCGCTCTCCCCTTGACGAGTAAAATTGTCTGGCGTTAGACAGAGTAAAATAATCTGGCGTTATACAGACTAAAATAATAAAGTAGGGCGCATCAGGGTGCAATGCGACTCAATGGGTTAAATAAACACAATTAACCCATTGAGCGCCAGCGCTCTCCCCTTGATGAGTAAAATCGTCTGGCGTTAGACAGAGTAAAATAATAAAGTAGGGCTCATCAGAGTGCAATGCGACTCAATGGGATATACATCATATTATTCGAAATGTGCTACATATACATTATATTATCCAAAATGTGCTATATACATCATATTATTCCATGCCCACATTGTCATCATCAATTTGTTCTTCTGGATCGGGGGGACGAGGGATAAACCGGGAAAGAGATTGTTGCACCAGATCGCTTGTCTTAGGAATAGGCTTGAGGGCAATTGAGGGAGCAATATGCTTAGGATGATCTTTGGGGACATCTACCTTCCTCAAAATGCTGTCTTCATCATCAACCCTTTTTTTTTAAATTCGTGTTGCTAAAGTGGGCCAAAAATTGTATGTCTTTGGGTCTTTAACTGCTGTTATTCTCCAATTCCGAGATCTTTTGCTGTAAACCTTGTTGTATTTAGGTTTACCATCATCTGTAATTGCTGCTTTACGAAATGTGTGCGAGTTGTGGTCGATAGCTGCGAGATAGGTCCGACCAACGAAAGCTTCATTTCTATAGCAAAATTAAAAATTTTACAATAATGAAATGTTAATACTGAATTTATTTTAAAATTTGTTTCACGGTAGTGGTTAGTTTTTCACAATAATGCCATTACTAATTTGAAAATGCATTTACTAGAATCCCACTCTTTTTGGTGCATAATTCAATAGCATGGAGTTGAAATTCTCAAGTCCTTTTTGCATTAGAAAGTTACATTTTCCTCATAATTAGAACATACCTGAATGTGACGTATTTGGGTAAACTTTTTAGAAATTTTTGGTCGAGTATCACCTTTCGGAGACTCTCAAAGGCCTTGGAGTTTTTATCCAAATACGTCTTGTCCACTTCAGTTGCCACTAATGGCCCGTGCTCGCACTCCCCATCTACCCACTCATGCTCGCCAGCAATGTGGTGCAAAACCCCAAGCCAACTGTCCTAAAAAAATGAAAGACTGCATCAGGCACGGATTTTCTGGGGGGTGCGGAGGGGTGCGCTCCCCCCCAGAAATGATTTGCACCCCCCCATAGGCATTTGGCACCCCCGCAAATTACATATATTTTGATTTGATAGTTTCATATTTGATTATTCTTACTACTAAATTTGTAAAATTACCAATATTATGGTCTCAGATCTCGCCATGCAGGCCTAGAAAACAAATTTGATAAACTTTTTCCTTTGCCTTTCCGGGCGTTGCCACCACGCTCCGGCCAAAGCAAGCAGCAGCACCCCCCTCCCCCCCTCACCAGATATTTATCCACCCCCCGAACGAAAATATGAAAATCCGTCTCTGGACTGCATTGGAAAATAAAATAATAGTATATACTGTACATCCAAAATAAATACTGGTACTTGTATTCATGATATTTGCCAAAAGAAATATGGAACGAAAATAGCCTACATAAACTGTATGCGATATCTTTGCAACTGAAAAACCATTACCTTTAGTTTTTCTTCATCACCATTGCAACTTTGGCACACAAACCAAAAGTGATTCCGGATAGCTTCTGTCCACTCACTGATCACCTCACAATGCTTCACTTTAGCTGCCTAAAATTTGTGCAAAGTAATTATAATTATGTTATACATTAATTATAGTCATGGCAGTTCCAAGCAAAGTTAAAGAAGGTTAGAAGGTAGCAATTAGGGACCGGTCATTATTTATGGCAGGGGTGGGGGCCGAAGAGAAAATGGTGGGGTAACTGAAAAATAATACTTGCTTTTTATATTCATTTACACACAAAATCTCCAAAGACTCCAATTACCAGACAAAATATATACTGCATAATATATATAGGGGCTGTTTATATGGTGCAACTGCAAGCCAGCCCCAGGGTACCCAAGCCGGACCAGTTTTGGCGATATCCTGCCTTTGTTGTTATTTCTAACTAAAGTTCACCTTGTGTATATATGGGTAAAGAGCGGGCCCAGCTATGACTAAGCGAGATCCCGCCCTTTTAGCCCGAGATCTTGTCTCCGGAAAAGTGACCTTAAGTCTGTAGCCCCTAACCCCGGGCATCCAGCCTCGCCCCCATATAAACATCCCCTTATGACATATTTCAAAACGTATATGTACAGTCTATTAAATTTTCAGGATTTAATTTTTGGGCATCTACACTTGATACTGTATAACTAATATTTATATCCAGTATGTGCTTGTAAACAATGTGGACAATTCAGGTAGCAAATCATGAAATATGCCCCTTGTGAATCTGGAGAATCATTCCAATGGCTAGTTCATGATATGTTCAGCTCAAAGATTGTTCTGAGTCTTTGGCAACTAGCTGTTTTTCTTCACTAGCAGACCATGTATACATGGATAAAATAAGTGAAATCTATTTACCCATTTTACAGATTAATTAAATTGTTTATATAATCATACTTTGAATTCGGATGAATATCTTTATCTTCACACTGTATAACAGCAACTTTTTCTCATTAATTTACAGTAACATCATTTTCACATGGGACATATACTTTAGTATTGTTGTATTGTTTACAAATTCAAAAAATTTAAATTGATTCCATAAACTTCAAGAATTCCTTGGGAATTCTTAAGGAATTCCTTTAAAATTCCGTGATAATACATGTGGTTGTCTATAGTAAGGAAATGTTAAAGGAATTTCAGAGGAAATTTTAGAATTTAGATAGTTGCAATCATGGGTGAGCACATATTTTGTGAAACTGTTTCAAAATAAAATTGCATTTTAATTAATAAAGAAATGCAAGAATGTGAAAGAAA